TTTTTTTCCCCTTACCTCTGCCCTCCCTTCACCCCCTCCTCCCCTCCCCATCTACAAACACTTTATTTTCATCTTTTCATTCTCTCACATTTTTTTCTTTTCCCTTTTTGTTCTTCCCCTACGTATCACACCTTCCCTACACCTTTAGCTCCTTTCCTCCCATTTCTAAATGTCAGTAATCTTATTAGAGTTTTGATGCTCTTAACTCGCCTCAGAAAGTAAGCACTTATTAATATTCCCGGATGCCCCCAAACAAACATCCTCTAAGAATCACAAGAGAAGTGGCCAGCAGATTGTAACCCCTTTGGTGCCATGATTCTGAAGTGACAGTCAGGATATTTCTCCCAGTCTAAAGGCAGAGACAGAGAGACTGCACTGGCCCATGTTCATCAATATGAAGAAAGCCACACATTCAGAGCCACACAGCCTGGTCCTTCTCTCATCAGCAGTAAGCACGTGCTAAGAGGAGCCCTGGCCAAGTGGGACCATCAGGGACAATGCCACCAGCAGTAGCTCAGGGTTCAACACCCTGAACCAAGGATTGGCTTTCTGAACACCTAGGTTTTAATAAACGGAACATCCACCTGTTCCTGTTTGATGAGAAGTATCTCTCAGTGGCTGTTAGAAAATAATGAAATTAGAGCCTGCAGCCAAGGCCAGCAAGTACAAAAGAAAATGATGATCAAGATGTTCAGAAGGAAAGCTGCACTGCTGGTTTCCCTCACAGCCTCTGCCCTCCCTCTCTGTTAACTCAGAGCAGGTCACCCTGGTTCCCTGAACAGCCTCAGGGAATCCCATCTCATGGCACTGTGGATGTTCAGTCTTGTGTTCACTCTGGGAGTTTCCTGAGCCCTGGGTCTGAAGAAGCCACTTTCCTTCATGCATGGAGCCCAAGAGAATGGTCTCCACTGCCTACTAACAGCAACGAAAGTTGCTAACCTCCACAAACCTGAGTTTCTTTATCTCTCACTGAGGGAGGACAGCCTATTGTACCCTGGGAGAATGAACAAAATTGAGATACACATAATATCAGATTAAGACATTTGAAGCTGCCCATGTCTGACCTGCAAAACAGCAACTGCATGTAGTTGAGTCCAATCTTCAGCTTAGGACCTGGCTCAGAGACATTTAATAGGTGACAGGAGCTCTTCGGGTTATAGATGAGTGCGGAACACATCACAAATAGCACTACGTCAGTACCGAACACTTCGGCTTCTAAGTTTGTGAAGCAAAGCACAGTCTCGCGATTCCCCGGAGGTCTAATGAACCCTAGGGCCGGGCAGTGTGCTAGGTAGTCAGAATGCAGACGCGGGGAAAGGGAAGTCTTCAAAGTCTGTGCTTCAGTGAGGGACGGAGGGGTGGTGAAGGAGGACACTGAGGTACAACAGGGGCCGAGGAGGGCCTCTGCTGAAGAAAGTGATGAAAGTCTTTCTGTGCACAGCAAGTCATTCTGGCTACGTAAAAGAAAGGGTGTTCGAGTAGCTAATGTTACTGTGCACTTTCCATGCACCAGGCACTCTCTGAGCTTTCTATGTCATTGTGTTAATCTTTCAAATAATCCCTTAAGATGGATATTATATTATCATCCCACTTTACAAATCAGAATGCTGAAGGATACAGAATTGAGGCAATTTGCTCAAGACCATGCACGGGGGAAGTGGGAGAGTTGGGAATCAAACCCAGGCCGCGGGATTAACCATGATGCCCGTGCCCTGCAGCAGGGTGAGGATGGCTGCTGACCCCACTGCATAACCCTTCTCTCCCCCACAAGACCCCGGTGGTGGGGTGCAGCAGTGACAGACGTCTTCTTTCCAATTCCTCCATTCCTTAGAGTTTCATTCACAGCACACTCATCCACCTGGAACCTTCCTCAGCCCATGATGGTGAAATGTGACTAAGACTTGCCCTTTCTCCTGAGGAAGAACCACTTTCCAGATCCCTAGAGGAGGTTCCTTACTCTTCCCAGGAAACTGCTGGAAACTGGAGGAAGGAGTCCTTCTGATTGCCCTGGGAGTGAGGGACAATTCCAGTGGCCAAAGGGTAGAGGAAATACTTTCCTTCCTCTCATTTTCCTGGCACATTCCATGCATAAGTGATGAACAGGGAGTTTGTCTCAGCGATGGAGTTCCTATTATGTGCCAGGCACTGAACTTGATGCTAAAGAGAAAAGACAGATAAGATACCTCCTCCTTTAGGAGCATAGGGCTGGGTTGAAGTTGCTCCCAGGCAATTCAGGACCACACAGTAAGTGTGACAAATAATTAGGCACACTGGGAAACGAGACTGAAGATAAGGGAACATTTGAGCCTGTACATAAGAGCCAGAAGGGCCAGGGAGTTGGCTCAATGGTTCCACCACCTGCCTTGCAAGCGCAAGGTCCCGAGTTTGATCCCCTGTACCCCCCACCCCCATGAAGAGCCAGAAAGGTGGGAGGACAACTAGCAAGGGATTATGCTGTGCAAACCAACAAAGAAGGGCGTATTCAGTGTCATAAACCACGATAGGCCAAGACTTGGAAAGGATTTGGATTTGATGACTGACCACCATAGTCTCCACAGAAGAGAAGTGACAGACTAGCTGTGGCTGGAAGTGAGAGATAGAAGCCAGAGCTTAACTGCAAAAACTTGATAGAGGGTTGAGGTTGGAGGGTGTTAGAGCCACAGGACTGACTCTAACACAGGGTGACCACCCAACCTGGTATATTGGGCTTGTCTGGGTTTTGATATTGACGGTCCTGCATCCTGGGAAACGCCTTGGTCCCAGACAAGCCTGAAGAGTCGGTCTCATTACTGCTACTAATGGAGAAGCCCATTAAAATGTTTCTACAAAAGTGATAAGAAGCATCTGTAAATAGCCCGTTACTTAGTGATGAGTAGGGTCAGAAGATTGGAGGTTGAAAGCTGACTTTCCACAAACAAGGTAATTAACTTTGTTACCTGTTTAACATATTTTACTAGTTTCAAACTAGATATTTATGGTGAGATGACATTGATTGACTGATTCATTCAAAAGACCTTTCCTGAGCACTTAATACTTCCCTGAGGTTCTGTATAACTCAGTGCATTTTCCTTAAAAGGCTACTCTGTAAGCTCACCCTAAGACCTAGGGCCATGGAAACCTGTTTTTTCTCAGTAGAATCACCTAGAATTATCCGGAATTTTCCAGTTTGATGTATCATTTCCAGTCCATGTGTTCACTGTCACTGGGGAAACGTTTTGTAGAAGGGTCCCAGGAGCAACTGTTTCCCCTGTAATGAATTGTTGTGTTGGGATTCTCATTGTAGAGCTTGGTTGCCAGGTGAAACACATGCCAAGGACCTGGTCCTCTTCTCTCTCTCTTTCCCCCGGAGGCAGGGAAGCTCACAGTTCTCCACTGACTGTGCCACACTGGCCCTCTATGATCACTGGTCACCACCAGACATTCTGGGTCAACCTAGCCCCCCAGCCAGAGGGACTCTGTGCTCTCAGTTTCCTCGGCACTGACACCCTTCTCTGAGTTGTGCAGATGCCTGAACAATGCAGACGCAGAGACTGAAGTCTGAACTGCACCTCAAGTCCATTTAGTAAGTGGTGTCAGGAAGATGACAGCGGCTGTCCCAAACACAGTGTCACCCATCTGGCAGCTGGGAAGAGCATGTACGAAGGCAAAACCACTTCCAAAGGAGAAAATGAAGTCCTTTGGCTGCATTCAGAGGCACTAATGATGTCTTGGTAGCAGACTGACTGAGAATCATACAGTTTGTGGGACCCTGATTCTGAGGGTGTGTTACAGTCATCCGAGCTGCTCCTCCATTAGACTCCTGGTGCCATTAGACTGCTCAGCAACCTGAGATGAGTGGAAACATTCACACCTTGTGGGTGAAGATTCCTGATGCAGTATTTTCATGATGTTCTCTTGGGCACAGGGTCGCTGGGCTGATCGGTCACTAAGCAGACGATGGGAAGTTTAACCTGTGGCTCTGCCTCTCAGCTTGGGGGTGGCTCTGGTGCTGAGGAAGACACAGGAGAGGAGGTGACTCCCAGAGGACTCTCCACCTTGTAAGACCTTCTCTCTTCTCTGCCTTCATCCTCGCAGCAGCCAGCCTTCTAGACTCTGGGATATTTTCCTGAAAGTCCCATTCAATGAGGAGCTCCTCCCATTGGTAGAAAATGTTCTAGTGGGTCAGTCCAGCCTTGGTATGTTTCCTCCATCCTGCTCCATAAAAAGCCTTTAATTCAGGCTGAACCGAGGGAAGGATGGTAATAGACAAGTGAGTGAAGCCAAACCAACCTCCTGCTTTTTCTGTCCTCTGAGAAAGTGAACCACCGATGACAGCCAAAGTGGACAGAGTATAATTTGTCTATAAGTCCAGCCCTGGGTATAGGTGCTTTTGGGAGGAGGGGGACTGAGCCCTGGAGACCTCTGTCATGGAG